AAAACCAAGAAAAATATACAGAGAAAGTATATCTTGCCTCCTGATTCATAAGGTAAAAGTTCGCCTTGCACATATGTTCCCGACTCTAGGGGGCAGAGCTCATCTCCATTTCAAAGCCGAAGAGCAAGCACAGTCCAAAGACATCTCCGTGGTCATGTGGCCAGCATGGCTAAATTCCGAAGGTGCAAGGAATGCTGTTACCATCCCACCAAAGGTGGTTCCTATTTTTCTACCTGCATTTTATATGCTTTCAAACTGCTAGGTTGGCAGAAGCTGGGACAAGCAATGGGAGCTCATTCTGTTATGCAGCACCAGGGATTGACAACCTTTCTGATCAACAAGCTCAGTGTCTTAGCCACTGAGCCACTGCATCCCTGATTCATAGCTACAGCTTAATACAGCAAAATGACCTTATCCAATCCAGGGAACATAAAGATCCAATTTGACGAATAATGAATTGGGAGAGACCAAAAATGAGACCAGAGGAACACAGATCTAATAATAGAATTCTTTATTGACCAAGTGTGATTGGACACACAAGGAATTTGCCTTTGGTGCATAAGCTCCACAGTGTATATTAAAAGATGAAAATTGTTTTCAATGCAGGGAAGACATCCTGGGAGTACTCTTTAATAGTAGGAATTCAGGACCTTCTCTAATTAGAAGAACAGATGCTCTTTGATCTCAGGGAGACATGCCACTCCTTAGCCTTCCTAAGCTGACCATGTGTTTTAAGATTGGTACTCTCCCAAATTCTGAATTTGACCCCCTTGTTCTGCAAATCATCGATCACCTACACTGGATCTGAAATGTTGATTTATTCCCCATCTAGAAGTTCTCCAGCTTTAGAACTAGGCAAGTCCATAACAATGACTAAATGGGAACGCTCCAATTATCTTGCTTGAGTAGGATTTCACTCAGAATTTTATTGCATAGAATATTTGTCTTACATCTCAAGATTAAAGATTGAAGCAGTATTCTAAGATTAAAGGCTTAAATCTATTATTTTAAGGAAAGGAAGTAAGAAAACACCTGATTATAGATTTTGGAAAAGATCATTAAGCCAAGCTAATGATTAATTCCAAGAATTCAAGCAAGCATTAAAAGCCAGTCAAGGAGAGTTAATCATTTCTTTTAATTCTTGAGCCTACTGCTCTACTGAACTTTTCTTAATATATAACTGGAATCTTTCTTGATTGCAAATTATTATTCTGCATAATGAGTGAATAGGCATTGATCTTTGGGGTGTCATCCATTCATATTCTGGATGAATGGATGACACCCAACATCCATCTCCCAACAGGATGGATCATTCTGAAATAGATTCAAACCTGATTACAATAATGTAATCCCTAGTCTCTAGCCATGGTTGCCACCTGCTCTTTGAGCAGTACCTGTAAATCTAAAGAACCTTTGGATCCAACAGTGGGACTGCCAGAGGTAGTATAACCTCATCCAGGCCAGAGGTGGGAAAAAAGCTTGATACTAGAAGGCCCAAGTACCCAGGATCAGCCAGCCTTTCTTGGGTTAACCTGAAGCTCATTGCATCTCATCCAGGCATGGAGAATTCCCACTCTAGTCCAATACCTTAACCACATTACTGCACTGACTATAAATATAGAAGAGCAATTATTTTGTAAGGCAGGATACTGTAATATATTTAACCATCTTTACAAAATGCCCTGTAGCTTAT